ACAAAAATGCTTTTCATCAGGTATCACCTAAATATTTTGATAGTTATGTTTACATCTGCGTTAAAAACAAAAGATTGCGTGTATTGCATTCATTCAAAATTAAAAAAGAGGATTTTCTGTGTTCATCGGGTATATTAATTTTTTCTGTAAGTAGATACATATTTTCATCGACTTCCTCTTGAATTGTGAACCAATTTCTATAAAATTAGCCGTTTAGTCGTGACTTTGTCGGCGTAAATTAGAAGTACTATGTCTTAGCATAATTAATACTCAGTATTTTTTACAATACTAATACTCTTCATAATATGAGTATTCATATTATAAAGAGGAATGATTTGATTGCTTGTTTGTTGGTCCTGAACAGGCTCCGAAACCATTGGTCCAATTATAAAATCCTACGTTCTATGAATCCTACAAATCCTACGAATTGTTTATTTGCTCAATATATTTTTTCCAACAATCTGTATGGAAAACATATATTGAGCAAATAAACAAAATCTCCTTTCCTAAGACTTTCGCTTTGTTGACATATTTTATATAGATATTTAATATTTTGAAGTATTATCTATTTTATAAAAAAATATCAATATCACTGAAAAGCATGAAATATTTTTTTTTTTCGAGAAATAGAACTGACTTAGTAGAGCTTTTAAAAAGAGATAAATAATATAAAAAGCGACTAATGCAAGAAATGCTATTGAAGTCGTGCGCTTATCATTTAATTAATAACCTACAGTCCGCCCGACTCCAATAGGAGTTCCTTGAGTTAGTAGTTTTTGAGATAAGTATTATTTAAAATTTTATTCTTTATATAATTTTACTGCTTCCGAAATCATTGTTCGCTATATTACAAGAAGCACTTAGAAACACTCTGAATAAATAAAAAACATAAAATGTTAAATCAAATAATTCGGCCTAAAATCCGGTTCGGTTAAACTTAAACCGAATACTATTCGGTATTCGGTTATTCGATCAAACCACTATTCGGCGCATCTCATACATATGTACAGCAATCGCCCAAACTCCGAGACAATATAAAAATAATCATTTGCTATATTGACTCAGACTGAATCAAACCCCTTGACCTCTGATAATACCTTCAAACCGGCATATAAGCTTAGTTACGGAGGTCAATCGACATGCTACACTAACTTTTACAACATATTTCTAACTTTTCTATTATCACTAGATCACTATTATAATTCGAAATAGTTTTCAAATTCAACATACATGTACGAGTATAACGCTATTATCTTATAAGAGTTGATCAAAGCTTAAAGCTTAAGTCACACAAGGTCACAGCATCGAATAACGTTTGAAAAGACTGGGGGTAAAGACAATAGACTTAAATCTACCCAGCGCATAAAAACTATTTTTAATTATTTCCTTGCAAACTCAGCTCAAAGTGACTAACATAAATATATTTTTTTTTCAAAATTAATGAAAAATATTTAAAACATCCACTTTTTCTCCTAGTACTTTGGTATGGGATTCGAACTCACGACCTTTCGCAACTGCTCTAAAAACTGAGCTACCCAGGATCTAACAGGACTACGAATTTTCCAAGGACTTGTTACTTTTTCGCTAATACAAAACGTATTTTCATCAATGTTCAGGTACTCCACCCAAACAGCCAAAAAAATATTTTAAACTTTCAATTATAATAAACGAAAAACCAAATATATTTAATTATCAGTTTTTTCTATTAATAAAATGGTATAATTACGAGAAGAAATCGAATAATTGAGATTTTTTTAAAGAAATTTGTGATTTTTAAATGTATTGAAAAAACAGAAATTCATGTTTGGACTGTGACAAAACTCATAGAAATATTATTATTTTTATAAAACTAATAATAATACTGATGATGTAATTTTTCATTTTTAAATACCAGCTTATTTGGATGTATTTCTAAGTGCCCTCTTAAGATGCAATCAATCTACAATGTGGGGACTAATCCAGCCACCTTTTATATGAAAGTATGATTTATCACTTGACTAATGACAGGAAAAAACAAATAAATAATTAAAGACAGGTGTCTCATACGCTATAACCCCCATATTTAAAAAATGAAAAAAAAAACTTATTTAAACCACTTACGATAATATTTGAGGTCTGCTAATTTGTCAACTACATAATATATCAATTAGAATCGGTCGTTACTTTGCTTAATAATCGCATCTCAATAGTATCTCAAGTCTTTTGCCATTGTACTATTTAACTGAATTTCAATATTATTAGTGCAATATTTTCTTCACTATCAATGGTGACAATTATATTTATTATTTTGTGATCTAGTAACAGGTACTGTGCCCTAAAGGATTGCAGTTGGAGCACTATTGACTTTCCATAATTACAGTAACTTTCGCAGAATTGCCCTACTATGCCACCCTTCTTCCCACTAATAAATTTACGTGCACAGGCGACAACAAATTCATCTGAAAGAGGAATCTCCGAAAAGGAGAAACACATGAATAATAAGAATATTCTTACCATAAGTAGATAGATGGAATGGAAGTTTCCATATACCATAGTTTTATATCCTATACATCAAATAAAAACAAGTCAAATCAAACAATTTTTACTTCTGGAATACGACAATATGTAACGTATTTAGTTTATATTCATTCATTTCAATATACTTTCTATTGTAACATGCTAGATAGAATAAATATAGTATTTTTATTGTGCATTTATTTATCAATGTTTGTAGTTATTTATAAAATTATGTTCTTGTTACCAAAAATATTCACACCACCACCGATGTCTCTACATCAACCAAAAAATGCCTGCAGCAGTAACTTAATTGTATATTTCTTAATAAATTTACCATTAAATAAAATAATATTTATGTATAAATTTTCAATAAATAAATATAAGAGAATTCACTGCAGAAACGCTCCCTGTATTATAATACGGTATTAATCGCCGCTGAGAAAGCCGACAGTGACCGCACGACCCCCAGACAACATTGTGTATCTCAACAATGTACCGATAGAGAGTTCATAATGGACGTTCGAGAAACAACAGATTTATGCAGTTTAATATTTAATATATATCTGACATTTATGGAACTTTCCACAATATATATTTGTGTTTATACTTTGCATTCCCGCCTAAGGAAATACGAAAATTAGTTCTTAAAGTAAGTATACTTTTACAAAATATAGTGCCTCCGTCATGTTTAGGTATTTACTTGTACTGGCAGTATACAGTGATAAAAATAAATGTAATGAATGATGTTATTGAAAAACTGTACGCATTATATAATAAAATGAAGTGAATTGAATATTAAACAAGAAAAATACTGCTGAATAGATTGACAAAGTAATTCGTAGGAAGATTTTGATTATAATTAATTCTGTGTGAATTTTTGAAAGCATGACGATGATTGTTAAAGTGTTTGACAAGATCATGCCAACTAGGACCTTAATCCGGCGGGGCGCGTTAGTACTATTTTATATGTACTTATTAAAAGTAAGTAAACTTCAATTTCTTTCTTATTTTTATTCATCAAATATTATTACAAACACAACAATTGTTGTATGATATTTGCTAATTTACTTTAAGAGATACATAACGGTTTTGTTGCTACGAAATTTCACACTTACCATTGATTATGAGAATTTACATAAGAGCCTAACATAAAATCTGGATAGATGCATTTAAAGTATATAAAAAATATTATAGTTTGAATAGACGAATATAATGGCGGTTGGCTATCATAGCATAGAAATGTGATCGGACGGTGCGAGTGGCGCGCGCAGCTCGCAAGTTCAAGGTGAGCGCCTCGCTCCGCCTACGCGCCCCGCTCCCAGCATAACCGTTACACGATGGACCCCCGGCAAACACCTCAAACCTCATAAGCACACATCACTTACTTCCACAAACAATGCCTTGTTACTATCGGAACAAGACAAAACCGTTAACAAGTTAATTAACTCAATTGCAAGTTTAAATTCTAGTATTTTATTTTAAAACGTAATTTTCACTCGTCACTTAATTTCTTATAAGAAATTACAAAAAGAAGTCAACCGTATCAAGTGTCCGAAATGAGATTCAAACCCATAATCTTTTATTAACAAGACCACTGCTAAATCGATTGAGCTACTCGAAACTTAGCGGGACTGTCGCATAATAAATTTACCAATTTTCTTTTTATTTATCATAATAACAAGTTATTTTGATTTTATAGTAGTAAAATAGAACAAAATAACAAAATTATTACCTAAATAGCAGCTTTCAATGGAAAATTATATACCTGATAAGTAGGTATACCATTTGCTTTTTTTATAATTTTTTCTCCAAAACATATTTAACTGAAGATAAGTATTAGAAAAGTCGAACAAATGTTTAAAATGCGGAAGATGCTCGTATATTTATCATAAGTGACGAATGATTTATTTCCATCTTACACACTTGTAACATCCATGTCAATACACCATTGCTCAAACTATACAAACGAACAATCTTTAACGCCTAATGCTTTCTAATTGCCTCGTTACCATCGAAACCTCAAATAGTTTATTAACGAAGTTAAATAATAGACATAGATAAAATAACAGATTTAATTAAAACTCGTATTGAATAACGTTTTTCTTGTTACAGTTATTGTGATTTTAAATTTTTGATGAATATTAGTAAGTCATATTTAATTTCGATATTTTTTAGCATGAGCGAAATGTAAAATGTGTTAGGCACCGAAGTTTTTACGCTCAGATCTTTAAGCATTTCATATTCAAAAATATATTTGTACAGATTTTTATCATAAGTTTTACCAACAAGCACCATTTCAAAACTCAATCGAATATCATTCCAAATGATTAAAGAAACGAAACGATATCTTTGTATAGTTTGAATATTTGAATGGAATTTCCCACTATCAAAATGCAAAGACACCTGGCAACAAGGTAATTTGTAAAATGTTATAAAAGATGAGGTAATAAAAACGATACCTACGCCCGTCAATATATTCACGCCAGTCCACTTATAAAAAAAAGATTTCTGATCGCAACCATAATAATAAAATAATCTGAATATTTTACCTGGGTATAGCAATAACTTGTCCTAGTTCATCGACCACGTGATCTGCGATGACCAGCACCGTCTGTCCACCCTGACCCGGAGGACCAACCACCACTGACACTCCGCCATCCACTAGCTGACCTCCACCACTGACAAGCTGCCCGTCATCCAACTGGCCACTTATCATCTCAACTCTCTTCTGATCTGGCGTCGTCGTATAAATTACAGTCTGTTTATCATCTTCATATATGAGATCAATGGGGGTTTTCTCGTCTATGGACTCCATACCCTGATCATAGACGTCGGGTTGAACTGGCACTTTGTTATCTGGAGCATATGCGGCAAGCTCATGGGGAGAATGCCGATAGGAGTGTGCCTCTGGCGGATAGCCATCATCGGAATCCATTTCAACCTTATGAGGGTAATAGTCGTGTGCGGGTTGCACTGGAGTCATGGTAGCGAGCACGGCGTGCGCGGGCGCTGGAGAGCGCGGCGCGGATGCGGGAGATGCGACAGCGCGCGGGGTGCGTGCGCGCTCGTCACACGCGGGCCCCGGCGGTGACGACGACATCACGCCGTGTCTTGGCGCTATCGCCGACGTCTTTGTGCGGGCGGAGGCTCCGACTAGGAGCACCCCGCTTTGCTCTCGAGTCCCGAATATAAAAAAACTGAAAGAAACAGATTTTTGATTGCACTTCTAGTTTTACTATATTTGTATATTGAAAAATATAAACAAGAATCTTGTGCTCGTTCTTTCTCTTTCTGGAGAAAAAATAAATAAAGAGTGTTGAGGGCTGTGTTCAATTAAAAATTTGTAATAATTAGTTCAAATATGATAGTAAGCAAATGTTGTAACAAATATTGTTTTACATAGTCCATAATTCGTGCATTGTCAAACCTTTCATAAGCATTCATTCACATGTAAAAAAATAACAATAACAGTGTAAGAAGTTCTGAAAATAACTAATGAACCTAAATGGCGAATGGAAATTAAAGAATGACAAGTAATTTTAGACCAAACTAAGGCGTAAGATTTTATGATATAATCAATTAAAATCATTTAATAAAATCATTATGAAAGCAGTCAGATATAGAATAACAACATTGTTATCTGGTGATTCTGAAAAGAAAGGTCAAACTTAGAGAAGTGTAACAATGAAAGCCAAGGACGACGAACCAACAGCTGATTTAAGTCCAGTTAGAAGAGAACAAGTCTCGAGTGGCACCCGCTTGGCGAGAAGCGCCCGAACTCGTTCAGGAGTGACCTGCGCCGGCGCACGCGGTGCCAACTTACCAGTTGTGGCCAACCCACCACGTGCCTGCCAAACTTGTCAGAATACAATCATAACACAAACATTATGCACAGCACATACATTCACCAGAAAAACATTCGCATCTAAGCTATAAGACTACTGCACCCATTTCCATCAATAAGCACAGTTTTTAATACGATAACCAAAAGAATTGCTTGACAGCCAAATAAATATTTTGGGTTTCCTTTGGATACTCCATAAAAACTCAAACTTTTACATATTCAACTTTTGTGTATTCAATTCATTAAAAAAAAAAACAAAATGAACTCGTAATATTGCTTCAGAAGCCATACTGAGAAACTGCCCTTAATGCCTGACTATGGAGTCTGAGGCTCAAGCATGAGAGTAAAAAAGACAGATATATCGCTATGCTATTAGCGTGAGCAAGAGATATATCAGTTAGCCGAGACCAGTCTTAAATCCTGTACATTCAGGAATTCCACTATTTAAATTTCTCTTTGTTCGCATGGAAAATTCAAATTGTTAACGTATTTTAAACATTTATATTATAGCAAAATCATTACATTATTTTTATGTTTTATATTAAAACTGTTGACAGCGATTGTGCTACCAAATAACTAAATGAGAAATATAGAGATGATGAAACCACTACAAATTCTTACAGGTAACCGCATCCACTAATTAGTTTACAATTATACAAGTTGTATATATATTAGTTTGCATCTTTGAATCTTATTGTAACAATAACAAAAGATAATTAAACAACTAACTCCTAATACGACAATCTTAGCAGAATCCAATATGATTTTAAAATACAGATGACGTCTTTGTTGATTCGAAGCCTGCGAACACCATTCCCTCACAAGAGGAAAAACAAAATTACAAAAAGGCTTCGCCGCTGAGCTCGCGGTCCCTGTGCATGTGTGCACGTGACGCATACTGCTAGCACACAAACGCAACGTACGTATGCATACACACCACTCATTTGGCAGACATATGCTGAAGTATCTTAGTGTGTACCTCAGCTCAGAGTCCTTACATACGCTTGAATCACGCACATTAACATTAAACTCACAGTCATATGAAATAAGGCCTCTCACATTAAGCTTTAAGAAATCACACAGGTACTCCCTGCATCTATCCACTTTTGAGTTTAAATAAAGAGGAACAATGAATGAACACATTACCCATACCATAATAAAATCACAGTTTATCAACACTCTTATGGAAACTCCTCAGTAGAAAGAAACGAGCACATCTTTCCATTAGCACATAAGGTCGGGGGCGGCGGCGACGCTGGCGTCCTGGTGCAGGCCGTCACGCATGCACGTCAAACTAGTCTCATGACGTCACGGCCTGCCCGGCGAAATTACAAAACCGGCCCAGCGGTACATACAGCCGACCGCGGCAGCGGCGGTGCTGCGCGGCGCAGTGGCGGGCGCGCTGCCGACCGACCCCGACGCGCCACTGGCGTTTGACATACCGTGGGCGGCGTCGCGACGCGATGCGCGGCGCAGGCCGGTGCGCGGGCGCGGGTACTCGAGCACGCGGCGAGCGGCGCTACGGAGCGCGGGCGCAGGTGCTCTGAGCGCAGCAGCCTCCGCGCGCCGGCGCCGCCCGCCGCCCGCGCCTCCCCGCGCTCTCGCCCGCGCCTTCTCTCGCACGCACCAAAACGACGAATTTATCTTCCGTACATGCTGGCCCTCCTATCCGAGGACGTTGCCCAGGGTGCCTTAGCGGGTCGGCTTTATTGGAAACTTTCGTAATAAACAACATTCTTAAAATGTAGCTTCAGCAGATGTTATCGTTATTTTAAATTATAAGTTTAAATATATTTTGATGCAACATTGGACTTTTGATTATTTCAATTATAAAATAAACTATTAGGAACTAAATTACTTTAATTATAATTCTAGATAAAATGTCATTATTGCAATAAACATATGTAATACATGCCACATTTATTACTTTAACTATGTGAAATCTAACAAAAAGCTCACATATGAGCAAAAAGCGTCTGTGCCGAGTCATGCCGAGCTTAATAACAACCAGACCGATATCGCGCTGCTGACAAGACTTCGCCAACGGACGGTTATTTCGAACACCTCTTACAAAATCAGTAAACTGCGACACTGGAATTACCCAACTTTACGCAACTTCCCTTATTGGACGTTGATGCAACAAGTTATCAGCTTAATATTTTAATATAATGTGGCGCACGAAGGACACCAGTGAGAGCTTTATGAAATATATCTGAAAAATAAGTCGAATCAATCAGTCCACATATACATAGACTATCTACGGCAGGCAGACTGAGTGAGTAACGCGTTGATGTTGTTTATATGGCTGAAATAACAAAACAACAACAATTCCGAGAGTGCTCTTGGTTACCTTGTATGGTTTTTAGTGTTTCATATTCAAAATTGTATATACCACTGACCCTTAACCCTTCACTGTGGACAGGCTCTTTTTGGTTTATTTTTTACTAATTTATCTATGTACCGATAGTTATAAAATAATAGGGCTGACTAAATGTCTGTGTTCGCTCACAGAAAATATCTTGCGACCCGATGTTAAGAATTATGGTCTATACAATGATTGAAGTGATGGTTAAATATTAATTATAAGCATTTTCAATTAATTAAACGATATATTGATACAATTAAAACATATAATGATGTCATTTTTAGCTTTCTCTATTATGTTATTTATTACTTAATATATAATAATTTAACGGAGATAGTTTGTTTTTAGTCGATGTTAAAATATATGATGATATAGTGCTATTCTATTATAGGAATAGCCTTAAACTCAACATAAAACACAGCGTTGTCATAGTTTAGAAGTCTAATCATAAATAACCTACTTCAAAAGGAATAAAGTAAATTCATTTGTTTGAAGTTTTGTTTCATATTTTTAATGGTTAGCTCTATATGATATCTTACAGCGCTGAACTCGATATCGCTCAGAAGGCTATTTTCTAATAGAATAACATACGAGATCCTTCGGTTATAATATACACGAGTAATTCAATTCTAAAGAATATCAAATATTGTAAATGCATATAAAATCGCTTCTTCGGTAAAAATATTAAAAGTTAATTATTTTTTCTTACAGCAATAAATTCAAAAAATTTAAAATAAAGATATATGTATTGATATGTTATGTTTTCACGCGCACTAGCCATAAATCACACAAGAACACGGAATCTGTATAGGGTCCGAAACGTCAATTAAACTAAATACAAACGCAATGAAACCGTTTAAAAGTTGTTGCATTTATTAAGTTAAGCAGGACTGTCAAAAATAGTACAAAGTTTACCTATACAAATCACGTTTTATAAACGTTTCGGTCAAGTTATACTACAGGTATATTATGATAAATGGCATCTTTTACCAATCTCACCACACACGGAAATTTTATTGCGCATTAATCCGGGTTCACCGCAGTCTTTGCAGCTTGGTCGTTCTTTGACCATGATCTTTTCTTTGCATTCCTGTTTTAAATGATATTCTTCATATCATTTTTAACATTATCCACCCAAGGGTGAATTAAATAATTTTTTTCTTTTCAAAAATTAATCGATTCCATTGTGTTTAAAACTTTAGATCAAGTTATCACAATCATGTGTGATGTCAAAGTTAAATTTTCTGTCCTAATATCGATCTGTCTTGTATCTAATGATAAATTCATGAAAACATTGATATGTTATAAATTAAATTAAGACTGTTTTTGTGAACAATAGCCCGTTATTAAAGAATAAGGACTTTACTTTGTCATAATTGCATTAACTTTAATATTGAAAGCTAAGCACATAATTTGATGGCTGCAAAAACTTTATCAAACTTTATGCTAAACTCGACTTTTGATACACTCGTATTCCCTATGTAGGAGAACATATAATACTCGTATTAACATATAGTACATCTCTTTTTGCTATTATAAATTTTCCTTGCTTATAATTAATCTTAAAAACTACGAAGTTATGAAAACGAATACAAGGTCAACAAGAAATTCAATTCCTCTTTAAATTCACTGACATTTTAATATAGACGAAAAAAAATGAATAAAATCTAGCTAAAATATTTATTCAAACTATTCATGTCCAAGACTAGCTTTCCGTAGATAACATGATTTTCAATCGCTATTTCAACTACCTTAGGGATAATTTTTTTCTTTAGTTTAGGTAATATTGTCTTAGCGTGGTGTACGTTATGTCATAATAACTATCAGTGTGCCAAATTTCAACTCGGTACGTCCCTTTTTTAACGCAGGGGAAATGCAACCTTAAGCCTTAAATCAGGGCTCTCCGATCCCGCATACGTCCTAAAAAGGACAACCTTAAGCGAAACCGGTCTAACTGGTAAAACCCGCTTCGAGTACTTGCCGGGGGGAAGAACCCGGAATTCAGGAAGGAGACCGCCGGGTACAGCCCCACTTTTGGGGGCCCACCACTCGGTATGTCTCTAGTAGACGTTGAGCTGTCCGTTGATAGATCATTCAGTCAGTCAGTTAATTAGTCAGCTTTGCTATTTATATTTACAGACTACTAGGAATATTCTGTCGTTTTTTCAATAGTTTAAAATGAACTTCTCAAGTCAACCCTTATGGCCATCCAATAAATGAATATGTATTAACGTTACATACAGTGCTCAACTCCTATACTAAACAGGTCAAGCTTTGTGTTACAGAAATTTGAAGCGATGAATGTAGCACAGCAACCCAAAATCGAGACAATATAGAAAAGTGTGATGAAAATTTGATATAATATTCAATTAAATAGGAAAGGTTCTCATAATGTTATACCTAGAGAGGGATGCCCAGGTGAAGTAAGTCCAACTTCTGGAATGTTTAGTACATACTCAGTACAGTTAAAGCTGGGCCCT